TGCCGGATCAAGAGTAAGGCATTTAGGAAACATTTCTTTTTATTTTCTTTAGTTTGTTTACAATAAGAATATCGAGTTTAATATATCTTACATTAGGGACATTTTCAGATTTCAAGAATTATACATAAATCTTTACTGGATTCAACAAAGAATTATTTATTTGCTTATATAATCTAAGCAGCGTATTTTATTTATACATAAAATATACCGTATAACTTAATATATGCCTAATCATTACTTTGGTTTATAACTAAACTTATTATAAAATCAATTCTTAACTTATTTTTTTTATTTACGTAGAAAGTAATTATACATGCTTAATTGGTATGCTAATTTTAGTCCATAATTGCATATACACATTTTTAAATATAAAGTACCTAGCTACGTGTAGCTTAGCCAAACTAGTTAATTCATGAATTAAATATAAGCATTACACGTTTTATCACACTTTACAAGTATGTCTACGTATTTTTAGCTAAGTCGGTTACTGTTAGTACTCCTAATAATTTCCATGAACCACAACTTTGATAAGTAATTAGTTATACTAAACTTTTAGGCTACACTTTTGACCGATTATAGAACACCACTTATATACATACGGAGTAATATAAATCTAAACTAATATACATGTTTATGTCACTTTATTTTTACCAGGATCCCTTATATGTACTTGGAGATATCTAAAATAAATCTTAATACTACATATATGTTAATCGTACCTATCATATATAGAAATACATACATACACATGCATACTTTATATTCCGTAATATGTAAAAAGTAAGCATTGCCTAAAATTATATGCTAGCACTACCTCTACATAATATATGTATGTTCGGTTTCTTTATACCTATGCATGTTTTTATACCACATTAATGTGTCAAAATACATTCTGGAAAATGTCCTTTAATGTTTAGGATTTATTTCCACTACTCTTAACTTCTATTCTATATCTTTAGTCGGTACAAAAGATAATATCATTACGTATGTGTTTATAAATGAGTACTAAATATGAATTGAGATACACATGGTTGGAGCATAAAAATATTTCTAAAATTATGCAATGTACATCATCCCCATATCATAACTGAAAACGGGGACGGAAATAATACTAAAATGAGAATATTAAAATACCCATTAACTAAAACGGGGACGGAAACGTACTGACCTTATAGACAAATACTTCTAAAATTTTGTTGGTATGAAAACCTCCTAGACGGCTTCCTCCTAGACGCCAATATTCTTCTGTTTGAAGCTACTCCGTATATTTCTTTTATTGAGTTCTTTGCTTTAGTGTCTAGTTCGTGTAAGCAAATGAGAGGAGGTAAGCTCCTTTTAAAGCTAAATGAACCCCATGTGTGTGGCTAGGAATTTCATGAAGCAAATAATTGAATTGTCTTATTCTCTATCTCATTGGTATCACATACGTATGATGATCATCCATTTGCCCATACCATGATGAGCTTGCTTTACTATTCATTTGTTTGAATGCTTCATCTCAATTAATTTAGCTTGTCAAATTTGTCTCCTAAAGTTTACTATTCCATTTAATAATTATTTCAAAATGATGAAGCTCATATTTGGCCGCCCATTTCTAATCATTTTAATACGTAGTATATTTTACTATTCAATTAACCTACTCAATCAAATAATTCAATTAAACTATTAAATCAAATAATTCAACATATATTTGCTTACTTGAGTACGTGTCTTTACATCTCTTACGATTATGATTAATCCATTATCGTTTGTAGAGCCTATAATGAGTCTGATACTCCGTTTTTTTTCGTTTGATTTAATTTTATTACAAAATGTGAAAAATGCTTAGATGATGATATAATCAAATTCGAAACTTTATTAACATATATAGTTTAAACAATTAGACCGGATTTTGGGGCGTTACAAGTATTCTGGTGGCCCAAAGGGCCAAATGGTTGTTTTAGATAATATTCGTAGGAGAGATGGAAATTATAAGGAAACATGAGTTTGGACTAATGTTTGGCTCCCATGGACCCATTCAAGGTGGGTCCAATTTCCTAAACCATATGGGATATATGATATGAATGTAGCGGCTTTTAGGCAAGTAGATGGCAAGAAATGGCAAGAAATGGCATGAATCTAATTAAGGTAACCAATTTATTTTCTCTAGAGGAGGCCACACGAATACTAAGGGTCTGTTTACTAACAGAGATATTTTCCGTTTTTTTACTTCTGTTTTTTGTTCTCCAATTTTCTGTTTTTATTTTTCAGTTTTTCTATCTCCAATTTTCTGTTTCTATTTTTTAGTTTTCCATTTTCAAATCTGAAAACATGTTCATCAAATTTTTCACCCAGTTCTCCAATTCCACACCCTTGACCCCTACCCCTACCCTTACCACGATCTTACACTCTACCCATACTCCCCCACAACCCTTTCATACCCACCCATACCTACTCGTAGGTGTCGGGGTAGTGGGTAGGGGTATGGTCGGGGTGGGGTGGTAAGGTCTAGGGGTAGGGGGTTGGGTGGGGGGTAGTGGGTGGGTTAGGGTCGTGGTTAGGGGTAATGGTGGGGTAGGGTTGGGGTAAGGTAGGGGTAGGAGTTTGGGATAGGATGACGGTATGGTGGGGCCGGGGACCAGGGTGGGACCGAGGTAGGGAAGGGGTAGGGTGGGGGGTAGGATGGCGGTGGGGGTAGTGGGTAGGGTTGAGGTTGGGATAAGGTAGGGGTAGAGTAGGGAATTGGGATAGGTTGGCGGTAGGGTGGGCCCGGGATCCAGGTGGGGCTGAGGTAGGGGAAGGGTAGGGTGGGGGTAGGATGGCGGAAGGGTGGGGGTAGGATGGCGGTACGAGGGTGGGGGTAGGATGGCGGTGGGGTGGGGCCGATGTAGGGGACATGTGGTAAGGGGTAAGGTAGGGGTTGGGGTAGGGTAGGGTGGGTCAGGGTGGGGTCGAGGTGGTAGGGGGGTGGCGGTATGGTAGGGTGGATTGGGGTGGGGCCAAGCTAGGGGCATGTGGTAGGGGTTGGGATTGGGTGGGTAGGGTAGGGTAGGGGTAAGGGTTAGGGTATGAGGATGGAGGTACCGGAATGGAATCGACATCGGAGCGGGACCAGATCCACCACTAGGTGTAAGTATGCAAATTCATTGCAGCGACACTGTAGCATCTGCGTTTTCCAAATTTGGAAAACTAGTAAAAGTCACTTCTCCAAATCATTAAGGAAAAGAGAGACATGTCTCATTTTTTTCGTTTTGGAAAACGATTTGGTAAACGCGTTTTTCTTTTTTCCTTTCTCCAGTTTCCAGCAAATTCTTTGGTAAACATGTTTCCTGTTTTCTGTTTTCCAGTTTTCCAGTTTTCTGGAAAACTGGAAAATATCTCTGTTAATAAACATGCCCTAAGTTTTCCAATTAGCATTGTTATCCTATGAAGATGCCTTTTGGTGAAAGGGAGATCAAGACAGAAATTTTTCAGTAAAGAGATGTTATTGCTACCTTGTTGGAAATTCCAATCAAGCTATTTAGAAAGTTGGACTCGAATATGGACTTTTAACAATCCTCCTAAAATAAAGTTTTTCTTTTAACAAGTCATGGTGGTTTGTCTTCCTACGACGGTGAGATTATGCAATAGAGGTATTCAAATCTTACCTATATGTAAGTTGGGGAACAACAATGAAAACGTGAATCATGCATTAAAGACATGTCCAAATGCGACCACTATTTGGTAGGAAGTGGGGTGGGGCATTTTGTGCAATGAGGCTAATAGCTTTTAAGATTGGGTAATGGGGAGTTTAGAAGAGTCTGATGAACAGATCTTCTGACGAGGGAGACAATGCAGATTTGTGATGACTCTTTGGAGCTTGTGAAAATGCTGCAACGACATTGTTTGGACAAGCGGGGGCTTCGAGGGTGTCAAGATGGCAAAAAACAAGCGCGGTGAATCAAGATTAACGTAGGTAGGGCGGTTGATGAGGCTCGTGGAATTCGGTCTTAGGACCATATTTCTCTAGATGAAAATGTCGATTTTATTCGAGGCTACAATGAGTCCAAGGAAGTTTGTTGGTCGTCGGCTGAAAATGAAACCATAGGAGTGAGAGCGGCACTGGTTAAAGTTATGCAATCAGGTTGACATTAAAGGTTGAAAGAAATGCTTTGATGGTAGTTCCAAGTATTCAAGTAATTCAACAGGAAAACGACTTTTCCAATTTTCAATTGCTTTTCCAATTTTCAGTTGATTTTAGATGATATTTTTTATTCTTGAAAATCATTTTAGTTTTAATATTTTATTTTATAAGCAATTATCGTATTACTTATGCTTTAGCGAAGGCAGCAGACATGCGTTTCTACCTCTGATGTCCGATGTAGTTCTAGTTTTGAGCAAGCACCGATATGCTTGTCTGCTTGATAAATGAGGATCCACTTTTACTTTAAAAAAGAAGTAAAAGCTAAAATTAAGCACTTCAAAGCTCAAAGTTGAAAGCTAATAAAGGGAAACTTAAATTATTTTTCACATTTTCTACTACATAAGAAGCACTTTTTTTTTACAAATATTACCAACTTTTACTCTTTCGAAATCATTTTTTTCTTAATCACTATCAATCTTTACTATTAAACACTTTCTTCAGAATCACTTTAAAAATAATTTTTTAGTATAAGTAATCTCTCTTTATTAAATGTAAACATTCTTAAACTGGGATGATTTCAACTCTATAATCTCCTTTTTGAGCGTGTCACATTGATGTCATCAAATACAACTATTTGGCTTTCCCAACACGATATTAAGCACAAAAAATGAGCAGCATTTGTCAGTGAAAAGGGGTTAGGGCCTCAACCTTGTAAAATTGGCATAATAATCCCGTGTTGTGAAACTTTTCTTAATCATTACTTATATAAGACATTTTCGGGCTTATAAAGAAAAGTTTGCCTTTTGATTTGTTGCATCTGCACAATGTGTGAAGTTGGTTCACAATTCACATTCAAAAAAAGTTGCATGCAAGTATGCAACCCAAAGAGAACTAGAGAAGCAGAACTAAGGCAGAAATAACAGCAGATAATATACCCACCAATAATGCAATACATGTTCCCTTTCTGGCTTGTTCGACTCATCAGCTTGTGGAACTAATTGCAGACGATATACAAAATACAAAAGGATGAGACATTTCAAGAAATCCATGGACTCTTAAGGGGACTACTCTAATATACAATCATTTTTCTCTAGGTTCGGTTTGATCTGTACTCCACCACACTATCATATGTCTCAATGGAGAAACAGCTCTGAGCAAAACATCTGCACATTGAGTGAACCATTCAAACACAATCACTATGGCAAGTAAAAAAGAAGCATGAAAGTGACTGAGGGTATGTTTGGGAAGGGGAGGGGAAGAAAAGAGGGAGAAAAATATGGGGAATATTTGGAAAGAGAAAATTTTGGAAAAATTAAAAAGTGTTCCTAGCGTCAGAAATTAATTTTAGGTTTTTACTCAAACTCACTATATTCATACATTTCTATAATTGAAAAGCTAAGAAATATAAATACATGTTAAATACTAAAAAGTTCTGAAGGTATTTAAATTTCTTTTGTATTTTTCAGGGTCAGATAAAAATAAAGAATAAAATCTATTTTAGTTTACATTTTTCTTTCCAATTCCATGCTCCGTATTCCAAACACAGTAGCTTAAGTGTTGCAGTATTAACCTAAGCTCATGCCAAAAATGTTCTGTTTTTTCATGCAAGAAAGGCCTGAGAGGAGCAAGAAATTCATCCCTTGTACCAGGCTCTCCAGAAGAAACTATTGTCCCTCTTTCATTTGTGGAGACAAGCACTGAGGTGACGACATGTACAATTATAGATGGATTGGGGTCCTTAAGTATAGCCTCCAGCTCCCTATGTATCCAAGGTTCCACTCTTTGTATTACCATTGACTTTACACTACTATTGTACTCCATTTTCTGGGAAATAATGAAGTACAGAAATATTATTCCCTAAGCTTCAAAGAATGCAATGTTGATGTACCAACAAGAGGATAAGTTAATTCATCTGATATCTATAAGAATCAATGTAAGTGTAACAATTATGGAGTGAGATTTACCAACAAGAGGATAAGCCATACCTCTAAAACACTGTTTTTAGATGCGAAAGGAACAGCCTGCAGTTTCCTTTCATATATGCTGCAAGAAGAGTATCAAACATTGTCATATTTTACAGAAAATATTAGAATATTTTGACTCAATTTTAAGTCCTATATATGATTACAAAGGAAACAACTCAAATGAAGTGTCCACCTTGCCCGCCACTGAAGTTTTATCTCCCTAATGACACCAGGGTTTAAACCTTCTGGAGTGCCAAAGGACCTCCTCCTAGGAAATTCCCTCGTTCTTGAGTATTGAGAATTTTGTTCTGCTCTTCTTCTTATCAACCTGATCACATTTTCCCCTAAACGTCAAAAGTTTCACTTTCCCAACCCCATCTACCTCGACCACATATATACAGTATTTCACACCTTATTATTAAATAATAAATGCGCTGTTTTATTCAAAAGTATTCCTTTCAGTATGACAGAATGAATACTTATTATACAAGCTAAACACCCATTTGGCAAGCTCATTTTTTGGCTTATGAGCCAGATTTTTACCACAGTGATTATTTTTTGCACGCTAAATAGGTCCAAAATGAAAAAAAGAAGTACAATTGAAGGCACTTGTTTGGCAGAATTTGCTTATGAGTTCTGAGGACCACTTTAGCTTTTTTCCATATACTTTTTTTCCTTCACTAATAAAATATAATTTAAATATACTATTTATAAGAATTGAACCAATTCAGTCATTGCTTCTGCAGTTTCACCTATTTTAGTGTTTCCAAATGGGTTCTTAGAGTACTGAAAGGCATTGTTTCCCTACACCCGAGCCATTTGGAATAGATAATGTTTTTAGAAGAACATCAATACTTTAAATCTTCAAAAAGAAAACTGGAAATTTAAGTAGTTAAATGAGAAAGCAGTGACAAAAAAAGCATGTATACCATATTACCACAAGTTATAAAAATAGGAACTTTTTAATCAAAATATACCTCAATTCTGCCAAAGCATTTCTCTGGGGTGCTGAAAAACCTACTGTAGGAGGTCTATAATCCAGTGGTGCTTTGAGTACCTCCTTCACAAGGGTCTGAGAGGAGAGGTCAATTATGAAGAGTGAAGAGCCAAACTCGGCTTTGCAAAGTGGACACACACGCTTGTAACCACTCCACCTGCAGATGCAATCCACACAAAAAACATGTCTGCACAGTGGAAGTGACGCCACTCGTCTTGGCTTGATTTCACAGAGACATATTGGGCAAGATTTTTGGGTTACGGCATCGCTTATTCTAGCCAGATCAGATGGTACTTTGGACTTTCTCTTGTAACCTCGGTACTGAGTACTCTCTTTCGAATGAGGCATGAAGCAAGATTTGTCAATGGAATCTATAGGTTCATAAACTACTCGAGCTGCTAACTTTGATATAGTTGTCTGCTATTCCTTTGAAAGGCAGATTGATTTGAAATTAAAACGAATTCCAGTATAATACATAGTAATTCATAAAATGTGATGTAGGATAATAGAATGACCTGTTCAATATAGATTAAAGAAAAGGCATTTACGAAAATTTAATATTTTATTAGCAATGAGCTTGTGGAACAACCTCTTTGGCAATTAGATGTTTGTATGAGCTGTTACTCCTATTCGTACCAAAACGATCTTTACTTTCACTATTCGTTCGGACAACGAAGCTCCTTTTCTGATTCACATCAAGCTGTTATCATATTTAGATTCATATTTTGCGGTTTAATAAATTATTACTTCAGTTCCTAAACAAATATTATTCAGTTATCGAAACTAATTTAACTTTATCATCAGCCAAACATAGTAAACTCAAATGTTATGTTGCTTTGCACTAGTTGAGTGAAGTTAGCTCTTTAATTAGCAACGCAGGTTATGCAAATAGGTTTGCTAACAGCAATTCTTTTTAGCTATTCGAATGTATAACGTAAAGTAATAAGCTTTTTGAGAGGCTAATCTAGAAAAGCAACCCAAGTAAGCTTTTTGTAAATGAGTACGAAGGCTATTATCAATTCCCAAACATAATTGACAGCTACTATGAACACCAAAGGTTCTGCTTTTGGTATACATTAGAACCTAGCAGAAAAACAAAATCTGCATACCGGTTAAGAATTCAATCAAAAACTGTGAATCTTGGATGTATATATCTGCCACTAAAATCTTGTAATGGCAAAAGAACACGTAATCTCAACTATCAAATGAATAGAATGGAATTGGTGGGCAAAGTGACAATTAATGGAGAGGAAATTGTATATTAGTCTACCTCACGCTGCTGATGGAATTGTCCAAAAAAAAAAACTTATCAATCTTCGCTTAGCTCAGGGAAACAGTTAAGAAGATGGGAAAACGCCGATGGGCGATGGCCGCTACAATCAGGCGAAATAGAATGTATGTTTGCGTGGCAGGGTTTCCTTTCCTTTTCCTGCGATTTCCCCCCTGTGTTTCACGGTTTCCAATGGAGCTTGTTTGAAAATCGTCAAATACAATGGAGCTGAGCAGGCTGTGTCATGACAAACAGTAATGTAAATATTTGTATACTACATATAATTTATAAAATTCGGTATGAGTAAACTATACTTGGTGAATAAGATGTTCAAAAAATTTCATCAAAAAATTTCATCAAAAAATTCCACCAGGAACTGCTCCAAATCGCGACGGCCGGGCAGAACCTCCTATAGAAGGACTTAATTGATCTTTTTATGAAAGTTCGATGATCTATTTGACAATTTTCCCTTTTAAAAATCATATTCAAACAGCACCTAACTTTTAAAAAGAGAGGAACATATTAAAATAATTTTCATATTTAAAATAATTTTTATTAACAAATATTATTAATATATCATGACTCAAGAAAAGTTAATTTGACAAAATTTGTAAAACATTGAGCAAAATTTGGTGTGTTCTCTATGTTCATATCAGTAAAATTAAAAATTCTAAAATATTTAGCAGTAAGTAATTTTCACTTTCAAGTGGCACTTATTAGATTTGTTTGTTTGGTTTGTTATTATTACCAAAAATAACTGGATGAGCAGAGAAATTAGTAGTCGTCGCCAAACGGCACTTCGAGATGCCTCAGAAGCTGAAAGAGAATTCAAAACGAAGAGTGGGTTGGGATTCAGCTCTTCCTTGCGCTCTGTCCTATTCTCAATCTCAGCCACCGCCATCGCCACCGCCAACCTCCGCAGCTCACAGTCCCATCCGCCTCCCTGATTCGCATTCGTCGATGGAAGCGCCGAAGGACCAAATGACCATTCTGCTCGAAAACAACCTCTTTACCTCCGCGCAGATGCTCGTAAACTTCCATGACTAATCTGAACCTCACTATGGACATCTTGATATATTGTTTTTACTAGAAATCCTGAAGTTGTGTTCTTTAACAAGGATTTTATAATTTGAATTCGTGTTTACATCTGTTTATATAATTTAAAATAGGGATGCTTTCTTGTTTCGTCCTCGACAATAAACTCAGAAACCAGTCCGCATCTCAAAGCTGAAAACTTGGTTGGTATTTTTACCTTTATGAAATTTGAATTGGGTGCATTGTTGATTTACTGGTTTATGCTTGCTTTGAATTTATGCTTACTAAAACTTGATATTCAGGTGCTGCTTGGAAACGCATTATTTCTAGAAAAGGAGTACAGGAGAGCTATCGTGAGAAAATGCCTTTGGTGCATGCTTCAAATTACCCCCTAATTCTTTTTCTAAATAAAAACGACCAACCGTGTTTAATATTTTTTTGCAGCATACCTATAAGCAAGCGTTGCAATTTCATAAAACAATCCCTAAACAAAGCACAGTGACAACAAGAAACTCAACTTCTGCGCCAAATAGATCTTCTTCCCCAAGTCCTTTCAACATTTCAAACATTAATGAGATTGAGGTACATTGAGCTTTAGTGCCCCTTTTTTATAATTTGGATTTGGATCTTCTGCAATTCCGTGACTGTTGCTGTATAAGTTCTTAGAATATTTAAATTTGGTTCATTGCAGGTGAAGTTCAAAATTGCGTCATCCCATTGTGCATTGAATGAGAATAAAGCAGCACTTCTTGAGGTGAGTATATATGCCAACATGTAATCTAGTTTGTCACATTCTCTAATGGAAATGTTTTCTTCATTGAAATTTGTTATCTGAATCAATGATGCTCTATTTATGCCTCTAATTGAGACTTGAGAGTATGTATTGAGATTTGAGATCATGGTGACTGCCATTATTTAGTTAATGGATATCTGTTGCATAAACTTTGCTGCAAGTGCTCTATTATCTTCTCATTTTTGACATTATTTACAGATGGAGGGAATCCCAAGCAAAGCTAGAAATTTGCAGATGCATTTGATGATGGGAAAACTTTATCGAACTTCTAAACATACACGTGCATCAATTACTTGTTATAAAGAGTGTTTAAGGTTGTTTACAGTGATTTGTTCATTTATTATGATTTGTGGGGTGAAAAAGTTTTATTTTCTTCATCATTCACCCCATTTTCATACTTCACTTATGTACTAAATGTTACTACAATACTACTTTAGGATGTAGCTGCTGGTCTAACGAGAGTTGCTATATTTCATAGAAAAGGATGATAAAAGTCAATACTGCTAAAACTACAATCATCATTTGGATAATTCGTGTACTATTTTCTTTATAGGCACTGTCCTTATATAGTTGAGGCTATCACTGCATTGGCAGAACTAGGTGTCACTGCAAGGGATATTATTTCACTTTTTCCTCAGGTTTGTGTTTACTGAAAATACTTTATTAAAATATGTTCATTTATTTTTAATTTAAAATCTCCGGATCGAGTATGACTGTGAAAGTTTGACTGGTAAATAGAAAGTGGAAGTCAAATATTTCAAGTCTTCAGCCATAGTTGCAATGGTGTTTTAGTGTTTAAGCAGCATGCCTTACATTCTTTACAATGCTTTTCCAAATGTAGAAATCTTACTTGAGTTTTTTACACTTACTTAGTGGCTAGTTATTCCTAGGTTCCTTAGACAAATGGGTTAATGATAGCAATGATATAACTCTTTTGTCCTTCAAGTATACTGTTTTGAAGTTTCAGCTACAAAATGTTACACTTACCCTGTGTATTTCTGCTTAACTAAGAAATAAAACTGCCCAGCTTTTAATTAATCTAATATGTCATGTTATTGTCAATTTGTCATACTGAGTTGACATTTTCTTACTATTTTAGACATCAAATAGAAGTGGCAGACCTCCTTTGGATCATTTTGATTCAAACCGTTGGTTGATGGTAAGTATAAAGTATAAACTATAAATCTTCCATAATATTGTGTGTATATATTACATTGACTCTTCATATAAATATTAAAATGCACAAACTGATTTTAACCACTTGCCAACAATGCACCATTAGTTCATTACAGTGCTCTTAATCTTTTGATGTGTGCTCTTTTTTGCGTCGGCATGAAAAGTTTGGTTTATTTTCAAAACTAACACTACGTTTTGATCTTTATTTGCTGCATTGTTGGCCTTTTGTAGTCTTAAGATCTTGAATCCGATACATCATTCGTTCTTATTTCTATTATAACATGTTATTCTCATTTGTTCCAAACACACACACACATCTATTACTATTATTTTGGATTTCACTATGTTAAGTGTTTATGGTACAAACTTTTCTGTAGAGTAATAGTTATATCCTTTATTTGTTTCATGTGCAGCGTTATGTCGAAGCCCAATGCTTAATCGCTTCAAATGATTACAAAGGTTCATTATTTTTCCCTAACACCTCAACCCTTTCATATAATCTACAAGCCAGTGGAATAGATGGTTATGTGTCATTATGTCACTTCCTCTTTATGGAAAAAGAACAACCATCTTATGGGTTTCTTAGAAATTGTTAATGGCATTATGGAGTATTTTAACTGTGTATTTAATGGTTATTATTGGCATTCTTGAAAAAATGCCAGTAAGCTTGTTTCTTTATGTAAGTCTTTTGGTCTTCTTACATCCCCACTTTTTATAAGCAGGTGGCCTGGAAATATTTACAGAATTGCTACAGCGGTTTCCCAACAATGTTCACTTATTGCTTGAAATGGCTAAGGTTAGGAATGTTATCAACAAATTCATTGCTTCCGTAATTAGATATTCAATTTGCATCTCTTATATGTTCCTCAACTATTCTTTGGTCAACTAATATTTGACTGGTAGCACTTTCTCAACTATGATATACACTTATGTACATGTTGACCAGCTTTGAGTTCTTTTTGCAATGTTTATGACTGGGTTTCAATTAAAAAGGATCAAGAGCAATATGTTTGCTTATTTATATCTAAATAAGCGATGTGTTCCATTTCCTTAGGTTGGGGCAATTACTGGTCAAAATGATGAAGCTATAACTTATTTTGAGAAGGTATGCAAAGTACTCCGTACTTCTTAATTTAATACTTTATCATCATAAAAAGCTTATTGTACTTGACCTTAACATGAAACCATGATGAAGCTGATTTTGACAAGGTAAACACTATTTCTTGCGATATTATTTTTTTCAATCTTGTATTTGTTTTTTATTACCCCAGGCTCGATCTATTGATCCGTATGTGATGACTTATATGGATGAGTATGCCATGCTTTTGAAAGTGAAGTCTGATAATTCAAAGTTGAACAAGTTAGTGCATGATTTACTAAATATTGATCCAACCAGACCTGAGGTATTTGTGGCCTTGTCAGTCTTGTGGCAACAGAAGGATGAGAGGGGGGCTTTATCTTATGCAGAGAAGGTAAAACTTCTTGTTTTCTAATTAGCGGATTTAGTTGTCGATTCTTGATTGCACTTGAGTGTAACTCTCAATACCGTTATGTTTGTTTGACTAGAGCATCCGAATTGATGAGAGGCATATTCCAGGATACATAGTGAAGGTATTTTCCAATGGTGTCTTACATATTATTGAAGATTAAATTCATGCCAGCTCTCTGTGTTTTCCATCTCTTGGTTTTCTGTTTACGAATTTGTCGGGTATACTTCAAGTAGGGGAATATGTTCCTGTCAATGAATCGTCCTGAAGCTGCCGTGGTTGCCTTCAGAGGAGCACAAGAATTGAGACCCGATCTTCGTTCATATCAAGGTCTGTTTTTTGCATGACACAAGAAGTGTAGTGTTTTTATTTATTTATCAAGATTTTCTAGGTTTGGAACCTCTATTGGTTGGATACTTCTTAAGAGCAGAATCTGCAGATGTCTTGATTTGGGTTCTTATCCTTCATTTTACAGTAAGAAGACCTTAAGAGTATCATCTTATCCCGTTCAGAAATAATTGCAGGCCTAGTTAGATCCTATTTGGCACTTTCAAAGGCCAAAGAAGCTTTGCATGCTGCACGGGAGGCAATGAAGGCCTTGCCTCAGTCCGCAAAGGCTCTAAAATTAGTTGGGGATGTGCATGCTAGTAATACCAGCGGCAGGGAGAAGGTAAGTTCTTTTTTGAAGTCTTGCAAGGGGCCAAAAAGTCCCCAATGTGTGGGTTCAAGACACTCTTTCATAAGTTCATTTGCAGAGGATATTCTCATTGTTACACCATATTGCACCCCCCCCCCAAATAGGCAAAGAAGTTTTATGAATCGTCCCTCAGGCTGGAACCTGGTTACCTTGGTGCTGCATTAGCTTTGGCTGAGCTACATGTCATTGAAGGTCGAAATGCAGATGCTGTCTCTCTCCTTGAGCGGTATCTCAAGGACTGGGCTGATGATTCTTTGCATGTTAAG